AAGAATATAGTGTGAAGTAGGGGGGGTGGGGGGGGGGGTGGTTACAGTAGGGAGGAAAGCAAGAGAGGTAGCAGTCAATTTGCTGACGGGAGAGGGGTTGGGACTGCAACTGGGAAAAAGGGAGGGAGGAAAGGTAACAGGAAGGGGAAGGGTTTGGGGTTGTAGTAGACAACAAAACTGCTGGTTTTTGGGCGAATTGCAGCTTGTACGACAATAATGATAGCGAGAGGGAAAGGAAGTTTGTGGGGGATGGGAAAAGTCGAGGATAATCACTACCTCAGAACAAGTTGCAATCGGTGCACCTTCTCGCCGTCAGATACAACCTTAAAAAGGGAAAACTAGACGCCGACGACTGTCCAAACAAAAATCTCAATAAAAATTGATCCTAAAACAGAGAAAACAACATATAAATAGTAGTAGATAACTAAGGGGGGCTCCCCTCAATTGTGCGACAACCTTAGCCCAAAGCCGAGGGCCGACCAACCCCCTTTAAGGCTCTGTTATGAAAGCTGTTCAACAGCCGGTTTAGTCCCCCAGGCGAGACTCGCGCCAGTCTCTCGTGGTGGGGGAGCTTCGACTTCATTCGTTGAGGAAGATTCTGGTTTTTCATTTGTTGTCCTAGCAGCCCTTAGATTCCATTATTGGTTGCACTTTCTCCCAAAGTAATCAAAAGCCGGCTCAACTTATTTTGAAACGAGTTAACTCGAGCCTCCATGAATGGTGGTGGCCATGTTGATAGGGTATCAATTGTGATGTCTTGAAATGCTCTCTGTCACAATTGTCTCATGTCTGGAATCAACGTCTCAATTTTATCATCCTTTATCATCACCAAAATTGATCCAACCGATGTTGCTTGGATGGCAAGGGCACTTGTGATCTTGAATTTCTCCGAAGAAGGATGATGCGCTTCCCCTCCTTGATGAATGGGTAGGTGGTTCTGAATTCATCGTGTTGTGTATTATGGTCAAATTGTCACGATCTTCCCAACAACAGGTGATAAAATTTCATGGGAATTACGTCATGCCACACCTGATCCTGTAGCTGACTTTTAATCAATAACTTCACTAGACACCTCTTGCAATGCCAACCTTGCTCTACTTTTTCAGTCACATCAGAGAATATGACTGGGAATGTCTCTAAGTCATGAGACACAATTTCTCCACCATCTGTGTAGATGCCACGTTCTTTCTGCTCCTCCATCAATGATGAGACCGCATACAATCCCGTTCATTGTGCAGTGGGTGTAAAATATATTGTGGCGAAGCTACTGCAGATCCCTCATATTTTTAGTCTGTAGGACCCGTCGAGCTATGATCATCTTGCTTTCATCAGATGGAAAATGATACACCTCACCTTGTTCCTCAACCGCCACCTCATTGCTAACCCTTTCCACTTTTTTCTGCTCGGTAAGACACAACTCGGCTTGTTCAGCAACTAGAGGCGATGTGCTCAAATCCATGACATTTAAAACATTTTCGGGTTGGAACTGTAGTAGGCGTGCTACTCTTTTTGGTTTTCTTCTCATTTGAGGTTGTTCTGTCCTTATCCGAACTAAGTTTCTCAACTCCCTGAGGCGTGTTGGTGTCTCCAACTACGGTTGGCTGTCAGACTGGTGCTGATTGCCTGCTTTGTTTATTCTATCTCCATTTTTAGGGCTAATGTCTGTCTTGGTGATCAATAATGCTATAGCCGCACAACGTTGCTGAAAACAGGTTTTAGGCCTTCGGATAATGGACTATAGTTGTGTTTCTTTGGCTCAACCAACTCACACTTCATCTGCAACTGGTCAGATTGCGTTGTGAACTACTCCACTAATAGGTCTCTCAGTTGCTAGTGGTGGAGTGTCAGAACCATATCTCGACGACAATGAGGTGGTAGATATTTCCTCTCCATTTTTTATCTTTTCTCACTTGCTAATTTTATCACTGTTTTCTCTCTTTTTTTGCCTCTACAAGTTTTCCTATTACAATAAGGCGTTCTTCTTCAACTTGATGGTTGCTAGTTATACATGTGTATTCTCTTACACTTCCTTATACTAAAAAATCTGCTCAATTGATTGCAATTTGTCGATAAATTCGTCTGGACCCATTCCCACATATAATTTCGGTAGATTCATTTTGATGCTAAAATCTCGGTGTCCTCCATATGTGGCTTCCTCTCTCGGTCTGATACTGAATTCCAAAGCGTCATGGTCAATTTTTCTCATAACCGAGGTCATCCCTATGGAAGGGATGCAAATTCTTGCCTCTTTCTGCTCTTCGACTTTCTTGATTAGGGTTGAATGTAATTTCCCCCAGTGTTTCATCGTCAATCTTTGCAAGCCTCTGTTAAAGCCGACTAATCTCTCGCTATATCTTGTCCCGGGTAGGTTCTGACATGTATCCTCTTAGTGACATGATTAGAGTTTGGGGATTGGAATGGTGGTTGAGGATAGGAAAGAAATTTTTTGGTAGAGGAGGTAAAACAAATGCTAGGAAACCCTAGGATAGGACTAGGGTTAGGCCAGTTCCTATACTAAATGATAACATAGTTAACTCAAACCACAATATTAATGCAATATTATTGTTGAAATTCAAAAGATTACATTGAACACTCTTCGAAACTGAAAATACATGACTATAAACACAAACGACACTTAGGGTGAGGATGGTAGTGGTGAACGTTGGTTGGACAGTAGTCAGATGGTTGTCTTAAGTGGTGGTAGGGAAGGGGCTAATGTGGGGTGTAGTGACAGGAGGCGCAGGCCTTTGATTAAAGCCGACTAATCTCTCGCTATATCTTGTCCTGGGTAGGGTTCTGACATGTATCCCCTTAGAGACATGATTAGGGTTTGGGGATTGGAAGGGCGGTTGAAGATAGGAAAGAAAATTTTTTGTGGAGGAGGTAAGACGGATGCTAGGAAACCCTGGGATTGGACAAGGGTTAGGCCAGCTCTTATGTTAAATGATATCAGAGTTAACTCAAATCACAATATTAATGTAATATTATTGCTGAAATTCAAAAGATTACAATGAATACTCTTCAAAATAGGAAATAAACGACAGTAAACACAAACAACACTTAGGGTGAGGATGGCAGTGGTGAACGCTGGTTGGACAGTAGTCAAATGGTTGTCTGGGAAGTGGCGGCAGGGAAGGGGCTGATGTGGGGTGTAATGACGACAGGCGCAGGAATTGGTGACTGAGAAGGGGGGCAACAAGTTCAATGATGGCGAGAGCGAGCGGAAGCTTGCGGGGGTTGGGAAAAGTTGAGGATAATCACCGTCTCGAGACAAGTTATAGCCAGAGCACCTTTTTGCCGTCGGATACAACCTAGAAAGGGAAAATTAGACACCGACAGCTTTCCAAACAGAAATCTCAGCAAAAACTGACCCTAAAATAGAGAAAGCAACATATAAATAATAGAGTAACTAAGTGGGGCCTCCCCTCACTTGGGCGGCAATCCTAGCCCAAAGACAAGGGCCGTCCTGCACCCTTTGAGGCTCCCTAGCTGAACTGGTTCAACAGCCTGTTCAGATCCTCAGGTGAGCCCACATCACCTTATGTATCTCTTAAATAAATGGAGAATGAAGGTTTAGCAAATTGACTTTAAATATTTGGTTTAAAGCTACTAACATTGATGATGATATGTGATTAATCATGGAATTAACTTATCAATGTGCTGTGCAGTATGGATTATTAAGGAAACTAGGTTGAAATTTAGAATTACGATAGTTTAGAATTGGAAAGGTACATTAGTTAAATGTTTCATATGGGCTTGTATCCATATATTATTTTTTGGATACTTCTTAACACTTGAATATTGTGGTATTGTGGTTGGGCAGATTAATTGGTTTTTTTTTTTCCAAAGATTGGCTAATTGTGGTTTGAAAAAGAAGTGCACAGTTGATGAGCTCTCGTGAATATCGAGTGGTGAGGGGTTATATACACAAACTATTCCTAACTTTACAAGATTTGCACATTACTTCTTATGATATGCAAGTCTGAACATTTTCTCTGCTTAGAATGCTTAAATGATTTTTCAAAATGCTTATATTTTGCATGATGCTCAATTTTAGTTTGAAAATCTATTTCATTGGACATTAATATGGACCATATGGTTGAAGTAAAGCTTGAATTTCATTTTGAAATGATGTTTTGCTCTTATTATCATTATCTTTGATTTATAGGTTTATTTCAGTTATCATTGAAGGCTTATGTAGCTTGATAATTGCTACTTAATACTTGGAATGCTTTTCTTTGGTCTTATCCTTGATACAAAGAACTCCATATATATTGCCAGGTCTACCTTACTTTGCTCTGGTGATCTACATCCAGATGTTCTTCTTCAAAAGGAACGGCAAACCAGGTTGAGTAAGAAACAATATAATTTGGAGATAAATAAGTACCATGCTAAGTATGTTTATTTCTCTTTGTATTGATTTTGTGGAACCTTGTATCTTTCAACTTCTTCAATTTTGAATATTGTATTTTGTCTGTGACAGCATGGTTTCAATGTTCAGAATGTTGAAGGAGAAATCAGAAACCTGTGAAGATCCGGAGAAGTTTTGGAGGTTGTCTTATCTGCTTTGTCTTTTTTTTTTATGTTTAATATATCTGGTGATAATTTATAAAGCTCTTCTAGTTAAGTTTTGATTAGCATTTTAAATAAATCACTTTTATATCCTAATAGAAACATGATTAGGTTAGTACTATGACCCAATTTAGTTATGAGAAACAACACTGCATCTCTTTTTTTCTTTCAGATTTGTTTATTCTTTCATGGTTAGTCATAGTTGAAAAATAGTGTTCATTGAAGTTTTAATGATTCAATTTCTCCTTTCAAGTTATTGGGGAAATATCGATTTTCTTCAATTCCACCTCCAATTTTCCATCAAGCTTGTTAATCCTCCACCTTCCTTTATCACTTCATGCCACCTCATTGTTTCATGGACTTTTGAAACTATTCTATAATTATTATTTTGTCTACTCATCAAACCATGTATTATTATAATCATTCTATTTTGATTTTGCATGTTTTCTATTTCAAACTCTCTTGGGATTGTATAAATATATAGGGCTGCAAATAAACTGAGCCGAGTTGAGCTGGAGGTTTGGGTTTCTCATTTTCCTAAATCATGTTTGAGCTTGGCTTGAGCTCAATTCAAGTTTTTGTGATGGTCTTCAAGATTGGTTCAGTTAAATACATGTTTTTCAAGGTTGATTCATTTTGTATTATTGAGTATTAAACGAGTAGCTTGATTGATATTTTAGCTGAGGCTTATTATACCAAACTTATTGAGCTTAAAAAATGATATTATAATTAGGAGCATTCATTCGAACCATCCACACACCCTCACATAGGTTACAAGCTCATGTCATAAAGCTCATCACTACAATTTAAATAGGACTAAGTTCAACGCCCAAATTATGTGGGAATATATAGCTACAAAGTTAGAATCGAGCAAAAAGTTTGTTTACGAGCTTTAAATGATATTATTCATGATCATAATTGAATCTAACTTCCTAATAAGCTTGTTTAAGAGTTTCATAATGGCTCGTTAATGAGCTTTAAATCATGTTCATGATCATAACTGAATCAAACTTAAAATTTTTCGAGCTTGTTCATTGAACGACCAAATATTAATGGAAATGTTCAAGATTAGTTAACCAAATGGTCATGAACGAACTCTAACCGAGTTAAGCCATGAATAGCTTGTCGAATGTTTGGTTAGCTTCGATACCAATTTGGTGAATATGATTTTTCATATGGAGTTTGGGCTTTATACAAAATTGATGGAGATCTCAGTGTACATTGTCTTTATCTTCCCCTTTTATCAATAGTGTCTTTGAATGTATTGCTTTCTCCTTAAAGTCACCCTTATTGAAGAGAGGGCGAAAATGGCTTTTGTATGAGGAAGGTTGAGAAAGAAATAAGGTAAATTTTGGGATAAGTGTGGAGAACCTTGGAGAAACTATTGGTTTTTCTTTGAATTTATGAAGAGGGAGTGGTAGGAATTGTGCCTTATGGCAGAAGAGAGAAACCCAAAAATTATCTTATGGTAGGAGGAAATAACTAGAATTTAATCTTTTGGCGGATTGCTTTGATATTAAATTAAAGAAAACCATGGAGATAGATCCCCTTATTGATCTTCACCTTTTACTCTCAATACTTTCTTTTAATTGTTATTTTTCTTTTTGAGTGAATTAGACTTGTGGATGGATGAAGTTAGAGAAGTTGAGAGAGATACGAGATATTTTTGGGCAAGATTAGGAATCCGAAGGAGAGGCTTTTAATTTTTCTTGGGTTTATAAAGAGCAAGTATTAGAGACTGTTCTTTACATGAGAGAAACCCATGGATTAGAGTTAGAGTTCTCGGGATTTGATCCCTTTTTTTTTTTTGTTTTTTGGAGGAGGAGAGAAAAAGGGTGATTTGGAGGAGATTGGAAAGGAGTTGGAAAAGATGTGTTGAAGAGGGAAAGGATATTTTTATCATTTCAGCTTATGATAGGATTACAAAATTACAAGCATTAAAATCCTTATTTATAAAAATATGGTTGCATGATAAAACCAACCATATCTAAAGTTCAAATCAAGATGAGTTTTAAAATCAGGAAAATTTATTATATTACTAAGAGAAGATAGCAAAAGGAGGATATCTATCTACTAAAGGTAATTTAATTCTAAAAATGAAATTAAAAAATTAATCTCAAATTTTTTGCTAGCATGGTCTAATTGCAATCTTGACTTGAATCTTGTCATGAACTTGGGCTTGGGTTTCGGATGCGGGCCTTGTGTTGCATCATTGAAACTGACACATTTTCATCCTTCTTCTATTTCAATGCATTTTTCCCTTCTGACTGTCTTGTACCGGTGATTATTCATCATTTTATCTATTTATTTAGGCAGCGAAACATTGATATTAGTCATAATGTGTCTTTTTTGAAATTCATTTTTTGTTTTAGGCATCATTTAAAAGTTTATCTTTCGGTACTTCATGGAGTACTTTACATTTTAAAGGTATGACAGCATTAATTTATATTTGAAGTAATTGTTGATTGGCTAGTGAGTTTTAGAAGGATACAATTCTCCTACATGTGAAAATTCTAGAACTCAGTTCTATTCTTAATTTTATGTCCGAATGCTTCAAAACTTGCACATATCGGCTTATCAATCTGATGAAATATTCTTTTGTAGAACATATGGGAGAAAAAAACTCAGAAAAAAAAATATATATCATTGAATCGTCGAGGCTCTGGCGAAACCCTAGCCTCTGCTACCTAATTACATGCTCGTAGAAGAAGGGGAGTACGACCCTCTGTTCCGACGTCTGTTTTGTCGAGCCTATAGGGCCGGTCGCTGTTGTAGGGCCGATTGTGGTCCGTCGTCTGATTCGTCGAGCCTGTAGGGACGATTGTGTTGTTGTAGGGCCAATCGAGCTACGCTGTGCTGCTCACGTTTCTGCTATTTCGACCAGTCCTGCGCCTTCCGCGGGTTCGACGACCCGACGCTGCTGGTCGCGCTTCAGATCAGAACGTCTAGTTTCTCTGGCTTTTCCATCGGCGGGATGAAGGATCGTCGTCATGGCGCTTCCTTATTTTTCGGTTGATCCTGAAAAAACTTCTTTTGCCCACATGGTGGGTAATCATCTTGCAGAATCTACTATTGTCTTCCCCTCAAGTTACAATGAATGTCGTGATAGTACGAGTAATTGCCCTTTTCTTAAGAAGATATGAGTGGGAAGACAACACTATTTTTCTCTGATTCAGAAATTTCAACCCTAATTGAGAAATTCAAGTTCGCTCTTATTGGGAAATTTCAGTGGGGCACTCACCTGTGGAAGGTATCAAAGAGTGTTGACGATCTCAAACTTGTAGGCAATTGGAAAGTGAGACTTTTGGATGTGAGACATGTGTTGATTCAGTTAACCCTAGCTGAAGACTATGCTCAAATTTTCTCTAAAAAATATCTCAACATTGCAGGCAAGTCAATGAAGTAACTCAAGTGGTTTTCTGATTTTGACCCAAATCATGAGTCTCCTACCATTCCGGTATGGATTAATTTACCTGGTCTCAAATTGCATTTCTTTAATCATCAGATTCTTTATTTTGTTGGAGCCATTTTTGGAGATCCTATGAAGCTAGATTTGTCCACCTTTAACCTAACCAGGCCTTCTGTGGCCATAATACTTATGGAAAGAGATATTACCTTACCTGATATTACTGAAGTCTGGCTGGGCACAACTCATAATGGATGTTGACAACTAATTGTCATGGAACATAAATCTTTTTATTGTATCCACTGTAAGATGTTTGGGCATACAATTGATAATTGTCACAGGCTTTATCCAAACTTGAAAGCTAAAGCTCAAGCAAACAAAGAGGGGTCTAACAAACAAGCAAACAAAGAGGGGTCTAACCCCATTGCTATGGACACATCTGCTCAATCTGTGGAGGAAGTTCCCACAAGACAGGATTTGCTTGTGGATCCCCCGTGCCAACACCGTAGTTCCTAATGAAGAACACCATACTACATGTACAAATATAAATGTGTTTATACCACTCACTGTTATTGAAGAAGACCCACTTAACTTACCAGGACACATGAGAATGCTCCTGCTCCCCTGATCCGATAAAAGATCAGCTTGTACAACAAGTTGTTGCTTCTAATGTTCAAGAACTTACACATGTCCGACACATTTTAGACCAATCCACTGATCAGACGAGCCAATCTTTGGATGAGGAATGACAAGTCTATTCCGGGAGGAGGAAGAAGAAGAATGAAGTCAGACTCGAGCTCGGGAATTTATTGGACGATACATTGGTTATTACTGGCAATGACACTCAACCCACTAATTTATTAGCTCTCCTTCCCTAGAACTAGAGGCAGAGGTAAGGCAAGGCAAAATCGGGTCGCTCTTTAGTTACCTAATAATTCGGATTTTGACACTTTTTGGTTTTTCATTTTTTTAGGTCTCTCATGTATTTTTTCGTATTTTCGCTTTTTGGAACCATTTGCATATGATGACTATCGTGTGGCAGGGTGTCATGTTTGGGTCTTCCCACACAATCTATATGTATCCTATTTTCTTTTCAATATATTAGCCATTGGGCTTTCTAAAAAAAAATACATAGAACTTTGAATATGAAATTACATGAGAGCTTTCATCTCATCGTACTTTCTCCACTGGATGTATAGAAAGTAATGCCACTGTCCTACTTCTTAGTTCATTTTCTTAACATTAATATATTATGAAGGTGTTCATATGCGCTCCAAAAATAAAAGAATATCGTTACAATTAACTACATTTTATCCACTGTTATTTTTGTAAAGTTAAATTCATTCGGTACTACTTTAAATCAAAACGTTGTTTAAAAAAAAATCTATAGTAAAAATAAATTATAATAATAAAAAAATCTATTTTTGTTAAAAAGTAACTATCAATCATAGTCTTGTGAACTGTTTACATGCTAGATAAGTCAATAATATAATTGCAATGTCTTATGGTCGATTCGAAAGATAATTTAAAATGGTGAGGGAATCAATTTTTTCATTACTGAGATCTTATGATGGAGCTTGCTTTCCTTGTTTGACAGTGAAATTTGAAGATATTATAGGAAAGAAATATATGTATTACATAGCTCAAGCTCAAACGATATGCTCCAATCCATGACCTTAAAACTAAATATCATCAGCAACATGCATGGAATTCGTTCTGTAACTCGCTTTGCTGTAATTGCAGTTTGCCTTTCTTTCAGTTGATAACATATTTAGGGTATTTTTCTATCCTTTAAGAAAATTTTGGAAAAATTGGTAGGAAAATCATTTTTTTTTCATTTCATAGTCCATAAAAATTAAAAATGATTTGATTTTGTAATAAATTGAAAGTAAAGTAATTTAGGCCATCATATTTATAAGGTGCATTTACGTGCATACCACAAAATTCTTATATATTTGCATATCGAACATCAAAATTTTAATATTTACATGCATAAAATACCATTATTATTAACATTTTAAAAGTGAAATACACTTTTTTTTATGCATGAGTTTATGTCACCAAATTGCTATAAATGTAAATATGAAACTTAAGGTGTTAGATATGTAAATATATATGAATCGTGTGATATGTATGTACATTTCCAGGTCTAAAAGTATAAAGGATATTTCTTGAGTTTCAAAGCCGAGTAAGTGAATCTTCTCTTTCTGGTGTGTTGTTCATGCTAAGCATTCATCTATATTTTATATAGCGCTTTGCACGCTCCGCCATCTTCTAGAAACCGACAAGAGAACCAGGGATGGAAGGTTTTAGAGAATACCAAATGGATGAGAGAAATCCATATAAATCTAGAATATTCCATCTCATTCTAGAGGATGGTAGAAAGAAAAGCTCCAAGGATAACTCAAGAATAACCCAGAAAGATCTTGGGTCATGTATGTAAATAAGAGAATAGTGTACGATTCTCTATAAACTAGGCAATTCTAGAATATTCCTTTGGACTTGGAGGGGACTATAAATAGAAGTCCCTCCCCTCATTTGTAACCATCTAAGTAAACTTTCCAAGCTTCCAAGCATTCAAGTGTTATAATCTTTCTTAATGAAGTGTTTCTTTCTCCATTACTTCTCCCTATTATTCTTTCAAGAGTGTTGTGTGCTTACAAGCCCAAGTATTGTGAGGAATAGACTGATTTAGTGCAAGGAAGAACACTAAAACTGCACAGGTGACTAGAGATAAGTTAGTCTGTGACAGTTGTTGTTAGAGTCATAGTTTGAAGGTATGGCAAAAAACGTCAGAGAGCACGTGATGGAGTCCGAAGCCACTGATGTGAAATCATCTCAACAAGGGCGAGGTTTTCAGGAGGAATGAGATCCAACTGTATTCAAACCACATGAGAGGTCCAAGTTGAGCATGAATAACTTTGATTCGCGTCTTGCTAGGATGGAGGAGAGGCAATGAATGACATCACATAGAGGATCTTGGCCAAAAGGTTGGTGGACTCGTGGATGACATCACAATCCATTCAACGAACAGATGTATGATGCTCTAACTGGAGGAGTCTTTAAAGGACCAAATGGCTAAGATGCAGGAGGATTTGATGGGGGAGCACCAAGAGGTGCGAAGACCCAATGAAGAAAATATGAATGACATATGTGTTAGCTTTGAGGAAATGCGTGGAAGCATCTCGCTATGCAAGAAAGCACTAGCGACACCCACCAATTAACATACTTTCAAAGTCAAGAGGATTGAAGTTTCAAAACCAAAGACTTTTGATGGAGCGCACAAAGTGAAGTGGAAAACTTCTTATTGGAACTTGAGTATTATTTCGAGCGATGGGGATTACGGGTGAAGAGGCAAGAATACAATTTGCAGCTCTTTATCTTTAAGATATCGCTATGTTGTGGTGGAGAAGAAGGCAGGGAGATATAGAGAAAAGTATGTGCACCATATCCACCTTTGGTGACTTTAAGAAGGAGCTAAAGAGACAATTCTTCCTCGAGAATGTGGAGGATGAGGCTAGGGCCCGATTGCGAATGCTTAAGCAAGAGGGATCGATTCGGGAATACATTTGGTAGTTCACAAGCTTGGTTCTTGAAATTTCCAACATGTCAAACAAGGATGTTCTTTTCAACTTCATGGACGGACTCCAACAGCGAACAGACTGAGCTTAAGAGGCGCGGAGTGCAAGATCTTGCCACTGTCATTGCAGTCGTTGAAAGCTTAGTTGATTACTCAAGTGAGTCCACAAAACCAAAGGATAAGAAGAATACATATGTCAAAGAGAGGGAAGACAAGTATCAACATAAGCAACTTCATCCATAGCAAAAAACAAATGGAAGCCTAAAAATGACAAAACTAAACCACAAAATCAGTGCATCCTTTGTGATGGACCGTATTGGGCAAGGGATTGTCCTCAGAAGAATGCTCTAAACTCTCTCCTTGCAAGTCATAAGGAAGAAGGAGGTGGTAATACGACGACACAAGCAGGGGCTATACAACTGGTGAATGGGATGCAAGCTCCAGCAAAACCCCAAGCGAAGGGGTTACTCTTTGTGGAGATTGTAATAGGCGGGAAAAACACTAGAGAAACAGTAGACACGGGTGATTCTCATAACTTTATCTCCACCGAGGAATAAAAAATATTGTGTTTGCAGATGACTAAAAGAGGAGGCTCCATCAAGGTGGTCAATTCAGCAGAAAGACCTATCCATGGAATAGCCAGAAGAGTAAAGACCAATATTGGGGCGTGGTCAGTTTCCTTGGACTTTTCTGTCATGATTTTAAAGTTGTTTGAGGAATGAACTTCTTGGATCAAACAAGAGCGTTCCCAATGTCCTTCGCCAATAGCGTGTGCATCATGGAAGGGAATCAAGCTTTCTTAGTACCAGTAACAAGGACTTATAGGCAGGATCTCAAAATGCTATCGGCCATGCAATTTAAGAAGGGCATTCCAAAAGACAAGGGGAGTTACTTGGTTGTTCTTCAGGACCCCGATGAAGAGACAAAACCCCAAGAAGGTATACCAAGGGAAGTGGTGGAGGTTCTTAAAGAGTTACCAAAAGAACAACCACCAAGGAGGGAAAAGAATTATCTCATTAGGCTGGAGCCAAGGACTAAGTTGCCAACCATAAAGTCTCCCAGCATGGCACCTCTCCTGCATACTGCCAAGGAAAAACCCAAGTTTACCAAGTCTATGAGCAAACAAAGGAAGCTGGTCCGAGGGTCAAGAGGAAGCCGCAATGAGGCCATTGCGAGGTTAAGTGGGGGAAAGTGTCACGCTGTGTCATCTTCTAGAAATTGGCAAGACAACCATAGGATGAAAGTTTTTAGAGAATACCAGATGGATGAGAGAAATCCATATATATCTAGAAGATTTCACCTCATTCTAGAGACAGGTAAAAGGAAAATCTCCAAGGATACTCAAGGATAACCTAGAAGGATCTAGGGTCATGTATGTAAATAAGAGAATAGTGTAGAATTATCTAGAAACTTGGCTATTCTAGAATATTCCCTTGGACTTAGATGAAACTATAAATAAGAGTTCCTCTCGTCATTTGTAACCATCTAAGAAAACATTTCAAGCCTCCAAGCATTCAAGTATTGTAATCTTTCTTAGTGAAGTGTTCCTTTCTTCAATACTTCTCCCTATTCTTCTTCCAAGTGTGTTGTGTGCTTACAAGTCCAAGTATTGTTAGGTTGATTAGTGCCAAGAAATAACGTTAAAGCCGCACGGGTGACTAGAGATAAGTTAGTTCGTGACAATCTGCTGTGCATATTTATGCTGGCTAACAGCTTTACTAGAGTGAACCCATTCTGACAAAAATAAAGGAATATTTACATACATAGCACTCAATCCTATGTATTACATATCTAATACCAAAATTTCAATTTTTTACATATATGCCACCTTATCTATACATGAAAAGATGTATTTCACTTTTTAAAAGTCAAAATAGGGGTATATTAATGTGATATGAATAATTTGAGTGATATAAATGTAAAAAGTGAAGTTAGGTATTAGATATGTATATACATTAGAATTGGATGGTTTGTATGTAAATGCCCCTAAAAATAAATAAAAGAATTTCTTTTTGAGGTGAGCTAAGTTGAGGTAGAGAGCAAAAAAGAGTATTTGTTGTGAGTCGACCCTCATTTTATATCACTTGCAATCTATGGCCGCGCTATTTTTATGGTTATTTCATTCTGTATTCAATGCCTCGTAAAGTATCAGTCCTTTTTGTTATATTAGCCCAATTTGGAAATATTTGGGCTTTAATCCAAGTCCATCCAGGAAGTTTTCCTCAGTTGAAATAGCATTTTTTGCCCAAGTCCAAGTTGCCAAATATTTTGCCCATGACTACAATAGGCATGAACAACATGCAAACCATGTTGAGTTGCATAATAGCATATTATAAAATGTATGGCATTCATCATGGTAACATAGCTTTTGCTGAAGGCCTTACATTCTTGAGGCATTTACATACATTCCTCACAATTATTTTGCATTTATATATCTAACACCTAAACTTTGATTTTTTTACTTACATTCATAATACTCAAATCGTTAAAATCACATCAAAATCGCTACTTATTGCTAATGTTAGATGTTAAATGCACCTTTTTATGCATAATTTTATAGCACCAAGTGTTATAAATGTAAATATCAATCTTTAGATGTTAGATATGTAAATCCATAAGAATTGTGTGGTACTTATGTAAATTTTTCTACATTTTTTTCTTTTTTTTAATTATTTGGCAGAAGTAGCTTATCGAAGAATAAGGTTTCTCATCTAAAATGCAATTTATTTGTGTTTGCAGGAAGCTATCGATTCAGAATAATAGTGGCGAGGGAGCTAGTGCAGAAATGCCTGATGGCTTTCCCATACATAAAAAAGATCTGCCTATGAAAATGTGCAATCACCATGCGGATGTGGCTAAATATATGTCTTATATCAAGGTAATAATGCATGCAATTATGTTATTGCATTGTAGAAATTACTTGGTTATGAAAATTGCCTCTACTATTACTAACAAATAAGGTACTTATATATAGAGAAATCAATCCCTCCTAATTTATAAACTTATCAAACATATCTCACCTAAATTAAATAATTCTGAATAAAAAATAGAATAACATAAAATAGGAAGGGAATAAATCATAAGAAATGTTTCAAATTAAATGTTTCCCGAGACATTCTAAAAATCTTCCAATATTTGGAGTTGGTGGCTGGCCCATACAAGATTTTAAAAACCTGATCAGATCGTTGGTTCGACTGCAAATCGGACCCAAGGTCGATTCTGTTTTGGCTAAAACACGTTTGTCACATCGAACTGGTAAAAAACCAGTTGAATTGCTGGTTCAGCCACTGAATCGGGACCGATTTTCGGTCCAAATTTAATTTTGCACGGCAACCAATGTTTTTCTACTAGCCTACAAAGGAGCAAGGATAATAAATTTATTTTTTAATGTTATGGGCCCACCTATCTAAAAAAGTTGTCATGTTGTGTGGAATGATTGCAGTTAGCTTCCACTTTCTGTGCCTCTTTTAAATATTAACTAGTGTATGCCTCTTTAAGATGTGGGACTAAGAGCAATGCAAGCACTGGGAAAAAATATTTTTAGTTAGAGCTACAAAAGATACGCTTGAGACTCATAAATTATTAAATTTGATATATTAAATAATTTACATAATGATATAACCAATTAAATTTAAGAAAAATGATTACTATATAATTAATCAATTTAATATATAGAGTAAAAAATATATTTATTTTGTGATTAATAAAATTCATACAATATTTTTTCATGAAATATTCTTAATAATATATCATTTTTAAGAAGGGTTTGATCGAATTCGACAAAATTAATTGGAGAGATGTTTTTACTATATTATATTATTCTTTGTAACAAAATTTTTAAATTATCAATTCTGTTATTATTACATAATTGTTGACCTCATTTTTAGTGAGGTCTTAGTCTTCTACTCTTAGAACCTAGGATCTAGCTTTAGGAGTTCTTATTGACCATCCTAGCGGACTAGCAATGGAGCCCACCTCCCGTAGAACTTCAAGTCACTTCTTGACTCATTTTTGTGAAGAACTCGCATAAGTGGTTCCAAGCACTCAACTTCTAGTTGTAAGGGCTAAGGACCAACA